GTCTCTTCCTTCACAGGAAAGAAGCCATAAAGAAAATGTTCGGAGAGCGTGTAAAATAAAATACGTTTAATTCCTCATTTTTGTCTTCGTGTCGTCAAATATGTTGTGCCCTTGGTGGACGTAACAGGTGTCTGCGCCCCTTTTAGGTAGGGGCTTCTGGAAGTTGAACTGCACAGTTTTGGAGGAGGCGGCTTTCCGTAGTTCCTACATTGCTCACTATGGGGTGTGGGTTTTGCTGAAGCCGTGGTTTGGCTCGGTGGTCGAGTGGTGGGAACAGGTGAAGCGCAACACCCGGATTCTAGCCATTTTATACTGCACGGACAAGGCGCGGGCGGGGAGGGAGAAGTTTGAGGGGCTACAACGCTCTTTGCAGGCTATGGTAGCCACCGAGAATAGAGGGGGGACGGTGGATAGGGAGGGGATGGAGGCCCTAAAGGAGCAACTCGCTCTGTATTTTAAAGAGAAGGCCAGGGATTTTTTGTTTCGGTGCAGGAAGGAGTCTTTTGAGTTAGGGGAGGTTTGTGGGGCTTACGTTTTCAAACAGGTTAAGGAGGCCCGTAAGAGGGGGTATATAACAGGTCTGCGAGGGAAGGACGGGGACGTAGTTACTGACCAGGAGGGGATGGTAAAGATGGCCTCCGACTTTTTCGGGGAGGCATTTGGGGAGCAGTTGGTTGACTGCTCTGGAGCCAGCCGTTTTCTCAGGGGTTTGGAGGGGAAGTTGCCTGCTGAGGTGGTGGAGGAGTTGGAGCGGCCGGTAACGATGGCTGAACTTGAAGGGGTTATGAAGGGGTTGCCAGCAGGCAGGGTGCCTGGAATTGACTGATTGCCAAAGGAGTTCTATGTTGCTTTCTGGGGGATTGTAGGGAGGGATTTTTTCGAGGTGATGAATTCACTCTTGAAGGGGGGGCCTTCTTGGCACAACGATGAGGGAGGGGATCCTAACCCTCTTATACAAGAAGGGAGACAAGGACCATTTGGGGAATTACAGGCCGATCTCCCTGCTCTGCACCGATTACAAGATCATGGCCAGGGTTTTGGCACGTAGGCTCCGAAGGGCTCTTACCCATGTGGTGCATGAGGATCAGACATGCGGGATGGAGGGGAGGAGGATACAGTGGAATTTGGGGTTGATAAGGGATTGCATTCACTGGGTAGGGGAACGCCAGGTGCCGATGATGTTGGTGGGGCTAGATATGGAAAAAGCTTTTGACAGGGTGAATCATGGGTTTTTGTTTTCTGTTATGGAGAGGGTGGGGTTTGGGCCTCGGTTTTTGAGGTGGCTGGGCATTATGTACACAGGGATGGGGAGTCGGGTTATGGTAAATGGGCATATAGGTAGGGTGATACCACAGCGGACAGGGGTGAGACAAGGGTGTCCGCTGTCGCCGCTGCTCTTTGTGTTGTATATGGAGCCGCTGGGTGCGGCGGTGAGAGCAGACCGGGGGGTGGTAGGGTTGCGCCTGCCGGGGGGGGTTGAAAATTTCACAGTATGCGGATGATGTCACATTGTTTTTTACATCAGAGGGGTCTGTGTTTAGTTTGCTCTGCATTTTGGAAGAATTTTCAGGAGTCTCGGGGGCCAAGGTGAATTTGCAGAAGTCAGCAATTAAATACTTTGGGCCGTGGGCAGGGAGGACAGGGGGATTGGGCAGGTTGCCCGATGAGGATCCTTGGAGTTGATTTTGAGGTGGGGGATAGTGGGCGACTAAATTGGGGAAAACGACTTGCTGCAGCCCGTTCATATATGGGGATCCTCGCGTGGGGGGCAGGGGGGGTTCCTGATGTCCCTCTTAAACTAGATGTCTTACTCTTTTCATTTTTGTGCAACAGTGTTCATGGCGCTAGTGGCCATCGCTTTCATTTGCTTTTGTTATTTTGGATGTCTTTCCACCTGAAACGGTTGATAAAGTGGGGTAACAAATGTCCAAAGGGGGACATTTTGCCTCCACACTACAGGAAGGTGGTGGGTTGGGCTAGACGCCATAAGGAGTGTCTGGAAGGGACTTTGTGCCTCAACCACAAGGGCCTCTATCAAGCCTTGGTTGAGAAACGAGGGACAGTGGGGGTGTCTGGGGTAGGTTCAATGGAATGGATTTTTACCCAGCAAAAGGGCCTACCTAATGGCCTAAAGGACATCAACTGGCGTTGCCTACACAGGAGGATGCCAGTGAGGGAAGTTTTACATAGACACAGGCTTTCCAGGCTGCGCTCATGTCCAAGGGAGGGTTATGGGTCAGATGAGACAATCTACCATGTCTTTCGGGGCTGTGGGTTTGTCAGGGCAGTTTGGGGGGATTTGGCCCTTTTTTTCCACAGGTGGGGTCTATATCATTTGAAATAATACTGTTGGGATTTGGTTTGAGGGGGAGGGGACGGGAAGGGTTTTTGTTATGGTTATTGCTATCATTGGGGAAAGCAGCACTCTGGGATGCTAGAGTGGTGTTGGTTAGGAATAATGTTGAGTGGGGAGTGGGTGGGGTGGTGGCTAGAGTTCGGGGAGAACTGGGGAAGATGGAGGAGGACAAGTACGGCTACCATGCGGCAAGAGAAAGATGAAAGACTTAGTTTTTTTGATCTTTGGGTTTTGTTTGTTTAGAATGGGAATGATGAAGTGATGTTTGTCAAATAAACTGTTGGCCGACACAGCTTACTGAACTCGACTTGTCGTCAGGTTTTATTCACACACACATAACCATGAACTTACATGTTACAACTCTCGTCTATCTGACTCGCGAACTCTCACGTTAATTCCTGTATATAGTATAATGACACGTAATGCACCAATTACATTACTGATACCTTGACATCTCCCCCTCAAATTATTATACTTCTATAACATGGGGTCACAACATTAAGCTTGTTATTATTAAACCATATTTCCTGTTGGTCCAAACAACTTAAAGAATTGCTTCTTTTCTTTCTTGCCTTTTACATATTGAACTTCCAAACACTGTATTTCTCAGATTACTCCAGAATGTAAATCATAGCTCAAACCTAACTTAAATTCTTAATAAACTTAAATTCTCTGTTCTCTGAGTTACTTAACTAAATGTCCATCCTTTTCACAGGTCTACTAACTCTACCAAACCTGGTCACTGTCAGTCCTTCTGGTGTTACTGTAGGACTATCAACCTTACTCTCCCACAGTCCCTGGTCAGAGCCATGTTGTGGTGTTTCTTTCTCTGGCTCTGTGGCTGGCTGCCCAGAGTCTGCTTTCACTTCTTCCATCAGCGGCGGCACTTGCTGAAGATGTCGCCTGTTTCTCCTCACCTCTCCTCCTCCTGGTGACTTCACCTGGTATGAGCGTGGCGTGCCACACTCCTGCTGCACCGATGCTCGAACTTTCCACACCTTCTCCCCATCCAGCTTGGACAGGACGTGGTCACCTGTGTGCAAGGGTGGTAAGGCCCTCGCGCCGTGTCTCCGGTCGTAGTAGAATGCTTGTTGTTGTTTGGCTTCTTCATCTCGGCGACGGATGATGTCTCGGTTCGGCTGCTTTGGAATGAGGTTTTTCTTTAGGGACGGCAGTGTGGTGCGAATCTTACGCCCCATGAGCATTTCTGCCGGGCTCACTCCCGTGGATGTGGTTGGAGTGGCGCGGTAGCTCATCAAAGCCAGTAGGGGGTCGTCCTGCTTGCACAGCGCGCTCTGCATGCCCATTACCTTGAGGGTTGTGCGGGCTGGATGTGGAATGTTCAATGTCGTACAGCCTGCAAAACTCTTTCCAAGCATCACTGGTGTACTGGGGTCCGTTATCGCTAACTATCAGCTCAGGGATGCCAAACCTGGCGAACGTAGCCTTCATTGACCTCACTACCTGTTCTGTAGTTGTGGTAGGTAAGTGTAGTATCTCTAGATACCGTGAGTAATAGTCTGATATCACTAAGTATTGTTTTCCTTTGTATTCACAAATGTCTGTGGCTATCTTTTGCCAAAGTCTCTCAGGCAGGGGTGTTGACAGTAACTGTTCCCTGCGCTGAGTGCGTCTGTTTGTCTGACAAAAGTGGCATGTGTCAATTTTTCTTTTAATGTCCCCTGACATCTTTGGCCACCACACAGTCTCTTGTGCACGTTCTCTACACTTAGACAGGTTCTGATGTCCCTCGTGTATGCGGTCTATCACCTCCTTTCTCAAGGCCTGAGGAATTACAATGCGACAGCCCAGCGTGATCAGGCCCTCACACTCAGACAGTGAGTCTCTCATCTCATAGAAGTCTCTAACACTGTGTGAAGTGCTACTCACTCGTTTCGGCCATCCATCCCTGATCAGCTTTCTCACACGCTGGAGCTGTGGGTCTTCCTGCGTGGCTGTCCTGATCCTGTCCAGCTTGCTTTGCGAGACAGGCCAGCTGTGGGTCACTGCATTCACGTGGCACGCAATGACCGCTTCTGTGGTGCTGTGTCTCTCCTTCAGCGGGCTGCGTGACAGTGCGTCGGCTATGACCAACGTTTTGCCCGGTGCATACTCTGCCTTTGCATTAAAGCGCATAAGCCGCATTAAGAGTCTCTGACACCTAACAGGCACCGTGTCTAAGTCTTTGCTGTTTATCAGCGGCACCAGTGGCTTGTGAGCTGTTATGAGTCTGAATTTGTCCATGCCTACCAAGTACTTCTGGAACCTTTCACAGGCCCATACTCCCGCCAAACAGTCCTTTTATATTTGCGCGTACCTGGTTTCCGCGTCTGATAATCTCCTGGAGCAGTACGCTACCGGTTTCCAGCTCTCTCCGTGCAGCTGGAGCAGGACTCCTCCCATCCCGTAGCTACTCGCATCCGCTGACACTGTGGTCTGTCTCTGTGGGTCGTAGTGGGCCAGTACAGGCGATGTGACGAGGGCTTCTTACAAGCGCTGAAACGCTCGCTGCTGTGGCTGATCCCATGTCCAGGCCATCTTCCCCTTTAGGAGATCGTACAGTGGACCTGCGACGGTTGCCATGTCTGGAATGTATTTGCTCATGTAATTAATCATGCCTAATGCACATTTCAGTTCATGTACATTGGTGGGCGCATCTAACTCCCTGATGGCGCTCACCTTCTCTGGGTCTGCTTGAACCCCGTTGGCGTCCACGATGTGGCCCAGGAAGCGTAACTGTGGTTGTGCGTAGACACACTTTTTCTTCATTCAGCTTAAGGCCTACTTGCTTCATCCTTTCAAGTGTGCTTTGCAAGTGTCTGTCATGTGTGGCCTTGTCTTTTCCATGCACAATCACGTCATCCATGTACCCGGCGACTCCTTCCAGGCCCTCGAGCAGCTCATGCATCTTGCGCTGGAATATCTCCGGGGCTATGTTTATCCCAAATGGAAGGCGGGTAAAGCAGTACCTCCCGAAAGGTGTGATGAATGTGGTTAGGATTCTGCTTTCTTCATGCAGCGGTATCTGCCAAAAGCCTGAGGCAGCGTCGAGGGATGTGAACACGGTGGAGCCCGCCAGCTTGGCCAGCGTCTCATCTGTGGTAGGGAGCTGGTAAGTTTCTCTCTCAGATTTTCATTCAGCTTCTGGAGCCCTACGCAGATTCGGGCGGCACCTGACGGCTTCAGGACTGTCACCATTGGTGCGCACCATTCTGTGGGTTGTGTCACTTTGACGATCACGCCGTGTTCCTCCATGCGCTGTAGCTCAGCTTGGACTTTGGGTAGGAGTGGCAGTGGGACTCTCCTGGCTGTGTGTACAGCGTGTGGCACAGCGTCATCACGAAGGTGAATCTTCACCGGCTCCGTCTTCATCGTGCCCTGGTGGACGGCTGCTGCCTTCACCTGCTGTACTCGCTTCACCAGCCCCATCTCTACTGCTGTGTCCCTGCCCAGTAAGTTATTAACTGTAGGCCCTCTAGCTACATAAATATTGAAAATATGTTTTCTCTGTTTGTGTAATGTGCTAGCTGTAAATTGTCCCATAATGTCCAATGTTCCTCCTGGACTCTCTAATGGGCCATGGTGTGGCTCCAGCTTTCTTTCTGGTTTAAGTGCCTTGAATGTTTCCATGTTCATTACAGTGACGTCAGCACCTGTATCTATTCTAAATCGCACTGGTGTGTACCCTATATGGATCTGCTCTGTCCATTGCTCTGCACTGCTTTGTTTTTGTTTACTCACTGCACCTAAGTAGAAACTTTCATCCTCTTCGTTCCCTTGGTTTACTTCCCTCACAGTCTTTGTGAAGCACTTTCTTTCCCAATGCCCCTTCTTCCCGCACTTTCTGCATTCAGAATCCGATGCTGGGCATTTGGCTGCATTTTTGTGTTTTTCTTTACCGCACCGACTGCACTTGCTCTCCCCTTGGTAGCCGTGCTGCTGTCCTTCTCTCCTCTCTCCCTGCGGTTTCCCTCCTTTCTTCACGAACCTCCTTTGTTTCACTGCTTGCACCACCAGTGGAGCCTGCTGCTCTTGCTGCGTTATCTGTTGTGCCACCTCTTCAGCTTGCCTCACCATAAGCACTGCCTTTTCGAGGGTTAAATCCGAAGTTAACTGCAATTTTCTGGACAAATCTTTATCCCGTATTCCCACGACCAATCTGTCTCTTATGTGTTTGTTTTTCTTATCGCCAAACTCGCAGTTCTCGTTCAGTTCGTGCAGGGCTCGGATAAACGTCTCCGCCATTTCCCCTGGTTTCTGTTGCCTTTGGTAAAAGCATGCCCTTTCGTGTATTGTGTTTAGTTTTGGTATAAAATACTCGTCAAACTTGTCCAACACCGTTTAATAATCATTTTCATCCTCTTCATCCGTAAAGGTAAACGTCTTGAAAATATTTTCGGCTTCATTGCCCATTGCATATATTAGCGTGCTAACCTGGACGTCTGCATCCTCCAGGCTTAGCTTGGAAGCCGACCTGAATCGCGTGAACCTCTTTCTCCACGACGGCCACTCTCCCGGTTTCTCAAAGTTGAAATTATCCGGAGGCTTGAACTTTGCCATTGCTTGTGTTCTCTCCTAGAGCACTTCTGACACCATGTCAAATAAACTGTTGGCCGACACAGCTTACTGACCTCGACTTGTCGTCAGGTTTTATTCACACACACATAACCATGAACTTACAGTACATGTTACAGCTCTCGTCTATCTAACTCGCGAACTCTCGCGTTACTTCCTGTATATAGTATAATGACTACGTAATGCATCAATTACATTACTGATACCTTGACAATATTCTGTTGTGCTTTATGTTTTGAATGTTTGAATAAAGTTTAATAAATAAGAAAAATTAAAAAATCTGTTCTTATCAGTTTAATATCTGATACGTCCTCTATACGATGACCACATATTAAATGGATTTTTAGGACACAGAGCCGAAAGAGGGGCTTGCCCCGTTCGCTCCACGCATCAAGCCGGTACTGCAGTGCCACCGGGACCGGTGCACTCACCACTGCTCTGGTCAAAGGAAGCAAGCACCACTTTGTCACAGTGTCTACACTCAGTCCCGCTGATGAAAGGGAAAAGGTTTTTGGGCATGGGCTTCGGGGGGCTGGTTGCAAGAGTTGCTTTGAGACAGCCGCCGTTGGGATTGACCTATAATTACCCTAGAGAGTTAGTTTGTTTGACTCTATTGCTAGGTTTAGTA